TTCCATAATTTGATCGAAGTAGCATTGTTCAATATTCAATTTAAGAATACGGAAATTTTAAAAAAATAATTAAAAATTATATGACATTTAAATAACAGCGATTTGTTTATTTAATAGGGAAGTAAAAACGGGAAAATACAATTTAATTACAAACATGTTTTATACAAAATAAGAGAAAAAACAACAAAGTTAAAAATTTCTTTGATGGAGATGACAAAATGAAAAGCATCAGTAATTAAGTATGTTAATAATAAAATGGAGGAAATAATTAAATTAAATTCTGTATTTACATTGAAAGTAGATCGTAATAGTGTTGACATTAGAATTTTTATTTTATAGAGTGTCACCTATTTAAATGCTTTGCATATGTCCCCCTGATTAGACAAAACTTCTAAATGGAGACAATGTTAAAAGCTTAACAGAATCGAAGTTACGGGGGCTTAATGTCAATATAACTAATTTTTTTTTTTTACTTCTTGAAATTTTAAGTATAACTCCGTGTCTGCGTAAGACAGGCGTATTTTTCAATTATTTGAAAACCTCAAAATAAGGGCTGCTTCACGAATATCTACGTCTAGTTATAATCTAGTTATAATCTATTCACATTTCGAAATAATATGACCGTATGATGAAAATTCGAAAAATTTGAAATTTTAATTTTTCATACTTCAATTTAGCATATGAATCTACCTGGCCTGGGTTAGGAGTTGTTGAGAAAAATACGGTGCTGCAAATGTTATTTTACACGAAATTTTTTCTTTAATGACTTTCACTTCAATGACAAAATGTGCGACAACCCTTCAAAATTGTGTCTGTCTTCTTCAATGCAAATGAATTTGTCTTAATAACAAGATTTGTAAGCTGTGAATATAGTTTTTTCTACTTATACAATGGTCTATAGCAGTGCACTTAAATATCAGACATCCTGTATATAAACTTGCGTTAGTGCGTCGTATAGTTATTGCTCTTATATTAAACATGCATTTTGCGTTTTCGAAACAAACAATTTATTCTTTTTTTCTTTCTCCATTGGAATAGAAAAATTTAATTATTTTTCATTTTCAATACAAACTTACAATTTTTTATACAAACTTGCATTTTTGTATTGACAGTGTTGAAAATTCATGACAATATTTCGAACAATGTCTCTGAATCATTGTCATGTCTCTAACATATGTCCCTTAAAACAAAGTGCCTCATTCGCAATAGAGGACTATTTATTTCCAAAATGTAGACAGCATACGTTCTGGTATTTGTAAAATGAGTATTTAGTCATATTCAAATTGTTTTTAATTCCAAAAACTTGCGTTTTCAATTGAAAATTCGTATTGCCGCAAGGCGATTGCAAAGTTATTCATATCAAATATAATATAATTAAGTAAGTAATAATATAAAAATTACTCCAAATCAATTTTTTTGTTAACATCGCAGATGCCGTTTGTAGTTGATTATATCAAATTATCAAATGCGCCAAAATCATAATCTTTTCTGTGTCGTCACACTCTTTGAGTGGCTTTACTTCTAGAATATTCTGCGGTAGTGTTATAGGACAAAATAAATTTTGCTTGTTCTTTAGTAATTGTAGCTAATTGTTATTGGCAAATTCAAATATCACATTTCGGCTTAAATGGCGTTTACATGTGCGTATCAATAAATATCTCTGTATATGTCTACTTATGTGTGTGTATAAATGTAAATCAAAAGACCCATCGATAATGAAAATTTTATGATTGTGAATTTTCATTCTTAATATGCATATGATTAGTTCCAAAATATACAAACATACATATTCGTGTACATTTTACGTACATACTCACGCACACATCAAATAGTAAACTTCTTGTTTCTAAAAATTTTTTGTGTTTATACCCTCATATGGAAAATTATGTAGGTACCATTCCGTTATTTTGTAATTTGATTCTAATAGGTTTTTTAATTTATTAAAAACATGGTTTGCCTTTTAATATAAAATGTGGGTAAAAATTAAAAATTGTAATTGTTTCCTTTTTGGTAAAAGGGTTTAAATAATTAGGCAAAATATTTTCATAAAAAAAATTTGGATGTTTATCGTTTGATTCTGTTTCTCATTCTCATTTTACATCAATTTCACTATATAAAACTTAAAAGGATTTTTAAAGATTCGTGCAACATCACAGTTTGCTTAAAGTATTTTTTCCCATTAGCATATTTAAAAAATTTAAGGAATAACATAATGGGAACTAAAAATTATGTAGAACGATTCCATGTTTTAAAAATACCCACACAACAAAAATTAAAGTTAAAAATTAATTACGGTTAATGACCCTAAAAAAAAAACTAAAAATTATTTAAAATTTCATAATAATTACCAATGATAAGTAAGGTAAAGTAAGGTAATTTCGTCAGTGCATTTAATTTCGTCATAGGTCGCACTTCCTTCACATATTTGTCAAATATAAGAAAACCCCATCTATTTTCAATAAACTTTAAACATTTTTGTTTTTAAATATACTTGAAGTGAGAAGATCCGTTTTTAAATTTTAAAAAATTAGAATAAATTAATTTTAAAAGACATTCTTAATTACTGAAAAAATTCCGGGGCAAATTTTTGCTTTTTCTTAGTGTTTTCGTTAAGAAAAGTAGAAAGTTTCTTAAGGGTATATCTGTTGAAATATGTGTAATTTCTTACATATTTGCTTATATTTTGACAAATTAAACTTAAAAAAACATTATTAATAAGAAAAAAATTGAAAAAGTGAAATATTAAAAAATAAAAGTTAAGTGACGAAATTACCAACCAAATTTTTTGGAGTTGGAGATTATTTCGTCAGAATGACGAAATTGAGTGGTTTATTAAAACATTTTAAAATATGAATATTTACTTTTGAAACTTAAAATATTAAAAAAAATTGAATGCAGAACTTTTATTTGCAGTGTTTCTTGCCAAAATATAAAATTTCGTCAGTTATATTTTATTCAGGTATCACCGGTAAAATCTATTTTAATAGTAACGAAAAATGTAGATTGCCAAAGTTTTTCTACAAATAATGATAAAAACACGAGAAAAACGGAAATTGAAATGTTAAATTTGACAAATATAACAGTTCTGTACAATATCTAAAAAAACTATTAAATTTAAAACTAACTTTTACTAAAATTTTATTTACAATCATATTTTGTGAGGCGGCGGAATGTAATACTTAAATAGGGTGCTGACGAAATTAAAATTTTACATAGGTTTTGAATTGTTCAAATTTTGTCATGCTTTTTTTTCAAAATTGTTACCGGATAGTTATTAATTATGATATACACAGTTTAAATTTGCATTAGTTTTTATTTTAGTCCAATGAACTGTATTAAAACCTAGTTTTTTTTGCCATGACGAAATTAGCAACTCCACATGACGAAATTAAAAACTCAAAGTTTTTGCTGACGAAATTACATGACTTTTGGAGATATTTTAAAATTTAAAAAAATATAATAATTCACAAAGTAACTGTCTGAAAAAGTTAAAAATAATTTTGTCAACATTCCAAACTAACAAAAAATGATATTTTTTTTGCACACACATTAACTATTCGAAATACATCGTTAAAAAACCGAAAAAGTCCCTTAACATGACGAAATTACCTTGCTTTACCTTAAGTAAGATATTTCAAAACTTGATTTTGAATTTGTTAAAAGCGGAATGCTTTAATAAAAAATGTAGAGTGGGCGTCAATAAGTCAACAATTACTCTGCAACTATACGTTTTTAATTTGAAATTAATTTCGGTTTTCTGTTTTCAACAATAAGGGTGATATGGAAAAATTCATAGTTAAAATGTGCTTCGATTTTATGAGCTTTATTTTTATTTTGTTCCAACACTTTGTTGAGAGCCATTAAATCATCAATAAATTGTCAGAGGAGCATCAATAGCTTGGTTTTGCTTCATTTTGTGATCTTAGATAAAATAATACACCTAGACCTACCAGCAGAATCCTTTATTCCAACTTTTTATTTATTCTTCTCTCAGGGTAATAATTGTTTTATGCTTTAATTACTAAAATAATAAAACTTCCATAATAATTTGTTTTCGACCTTTTAACACATCAAAATCATGGCTATTAATAGAGAAGATCAGTTAATTAGTGAACATTTTTTTTTCGTCTTCTAATTATTGTTTAAGCCATTAACGAAAATAAATTTTATATTTTATTGTAAATTCTACAAGTTTAATGCTATTAAAATACTAATTTTAAAATTTTTTTTTTCTTTCTCATTTCAGGTTAGTGAAGCTACATGCAGATTAAATCACAACAGAGCATTCTTAAAATCAAGTTGAATTCTAGTGTTAACATTAAAAATATGCTTATGATTTTATTGGCAATTAATTTATTCTTTAGTATTATTGTTTACAAGTAAATTTTCATTATCCTTCGAGTTTGGTTATTTACAAACGCTATTAATTTGCAAAATTTATTACAAAATTATTTGTTATTTTGCAAAATATACAAATTAATAGCATAGTATTTTATGCTCCTTTAGATAATATTATAAGATAATTTTATTCCATAACGAATATTTTATTAATTTATAACACGATTGAATTTTAATAGCAGCAAATATTGTCGTGATAATTGCGACCAACATTCAAACGAATTGCTTGTCTTTATTGCTTTATGAAATTTTTATGTAGCTATACGTGATGAGAGGATATTCATATTTTCGTAACTCCAATTGATTCCAAAATCTTTATTCTTGTTAGTATGTTATTAGCTATTAACGCAAATAATAATTATTTGGGCTCTGTAGTGTCCATTTGTTATTCATACGATGTGTGTGTATTGCTGATTGGACGAATAACACAATTTATCTCAAATAAACAAACCATTTACAGTAAATGGTGAAATTCTGAAATTCTGAAAAGGTCAATGTTATTTTCCCACCTTGTCATTCTTGAATCGTGAAACGTTAAAAAAATTTCGGAAAGTAATCTCTCTCAAACTGATATCGTAATTAATCACATATTTTATACAAATACCATTTTTATTAAAAATTTCTTAAATACTAAAAACTATATAATTTAAAACTTAATGTAATAATTTTTCTTAATTTTAAGTTACAGTTCTTCACTTTAAATACTACTACAAATCTATGCTAGAATAAGTTTATCTTCCGTTTTGTTTTCGGGCCAAACTACTGATTCAATCCAATTTATGTAGGAACTTATATTCGTATATATTCCAGGTGTAGATGAACCACAGACCTGTCCATATGAAACAATACCTACTACACGTTCTCCTAACAATAGTGGTCCGCCAGAATCGCCCTTTATGTAAAAAAATAAATCTATAACTAAAAGAATTCATAAAAAAATTAAATTGCACATACCTGACATGTATCTTGTATAACTTGTTCAGTGCCATTATAAATTCTCTCTTTGCCCACAACACATAATTGGGATTCAATAATTTGATTTTCCCCATAGTGTTTTTTACATACATCGTTACTTAATATTGTCATATAAACTTTTAAGAGTCTTTTCGCAAATGGGCCCCCTGCAAAATATACATCGTAAGGAAAACTAAAATTTTTAAATTATTAAAGCGTATTATACCAAATGATGTTGAGCCGTATCCTGCTGAAATAGCATTAGAATCAAATTCCAAATTAAGTTCTCCAAAAGTCCAGAGACAAACAGGAGTTGCACTAAGAAAAAGTGAAAATTGAATTTATTTTATTTGTTTACTTATTTAATGCATTTATTTTTTTTTACGTGTTCACTTACTATACCGGTTGACCTAACACTAATACTGCTATGTCATTATGATTTGTATCACTTTGATAGTCAGGATGAGATACTACTTTAACAACTGGTACCACTTTAGTAGCATTATCAGATAACGGATCTCCTCCAATTCGTACCACAGATGGTGGTTCACTAAAAGGTAAAATGAAATGTAAAAATTTTGTTTTATTTATATAACAAATAAGAGAAACTCACTTATTATACGTGGCGCAATGAGCTGCTGTTATTACGAAATTTCTGTCAATTAAAAACCCACCACAGTTATATGTAGGATTTTTGATGTCACCATAACCCACAACAGCCATGAATGGGAACTCATCTTTTTTCGTTTCATAACCACCAACAGCAACAGGACGCTGTACTGGTGGGTTTAATTTTTGACATACTACGAAAAGAATTAGAATTATTTTGTTTTTACAATTAAAAATTTTTCTATAATAGTTTTTTTTATGAATGGAAAACCCTCACACAACATACTTACTCCTTTCACTTGCCGTTAAGTTTTCAAAATAATTTTTCAAAAACGGTAAATCCTGATTGCAACAAACATAAGGTTCAAACTCAGTAAAATGACAAACTTTTGGGTAAGTCCGGTTTTCTTTAAAAAGCTCTTGGGCAACATAACATTTTGAAAACGGTATACATGGTTCGAAACAGTCAACTCTTTGAGACTCAACTATTCATAATAAAATTTTTAAAGAAAAAAAAATTATTAAAAAAAAAATATGTGAAAATATTTTACCTGTGCCGATAATCAAAAGGAAAGAAATGTAGAAAAAATTATTAAATTTGCAAATCATTTCTACAGTTTCTTTATTTTGAGTTCTTTAAGCATTCACGCTTGAAACACGACTAAAATAACTGGAAAAATTACACGTTTATGCAGGTACGAGTATGCGCTATCTTATAATCGTAAACAAAATGAAGACGAGTTTAAAGGCAACAACAAAATACTAAGTAAAATATTATTTAATAGTTTCGTTACAATAGTGTTTGAGCTGAAAATAAGCGAGTTCGTTATGCTTTTTACACATATTCTGAATTGTTATACGAATTTAATATTATTTACACACGGTTCTACAGCACTTGTATATATTATGAATATTCAGTTTTATGCTAATTATTTTATCAAAGAAAAGAGTGAAAAAAAATTGCTTCAAATATATTTTTTTTGTGAGTTAGAAAATTGTGCCTCAGAGTTATAAGATTTTTTCGGAATGAAAAAATGGTTTTTCCAATATAAATTCTAAATGGAATTTCCGAAATTTTTTTTATTTAGTGTGGTTATTAAGATAAAACTCATATTAAAAGTAAAAGTATTAACATTTTAGATAAGTACATAGTTCCAGTTTTTTGTTCTAGATATTATTTTTCGAATAAAAACTTGTCATACATGTCTTTAATGTTATATTTATATACGCACACACATTTCAGCTGACAGATTTAGTTTTAATTTTAATAAGTTACAGCTGTCATGAATTTCATAAAGTTCGTGAATCCGTTTTACTTTTAACTTTCAAACTCTATACTTGCGTTAGCAAAGAAGTAAAAGCAAGCCATACATATTTTAGTTTCGTCGCCTGAACTTACGCTCTGAGAAGAGCACTGAACATAAACAAAAAGCTCTTCAATTATTTACACAAACACATTAAAAAAAATAAAATATTTTTGCTCATAGAAATTTTTCTCTTTAACTTTTGGCCCACTTCTGAAATACTTTGACTATCACTGAAATATACGATAAGACTCATTTTCTATACAAGTATCAGATGTCAACATTCTATATAGTAGATGCAAATATACAACAACAAATTCAATGAATTAACTAGTTTCAGAAATGGTATTGAACTTTTCACATAATGTGATAAAAATAAAATGAAAAAAATCATTAAAAAATATTTTCGATTTTATTTATTTTGCGAATCGATAAATAAATGAAAGTTGAATAAGATAAAAAAAAATACGAAAGATACGAAAAAATTAATTTTATAAATTAATTGCTATTTTTTTTCATATTTGCTCACTCAAAATGAAATTTGGGAAGCTCACAACACATTTATTACGTTAGAACAGTCTAATTATTGCAATTGTATATTCATAAATCGTGATCAGGAAACTAATATACAGATTAATTTTATTACCACGAGTCTAATTCATTATTCTTTGTATTTAAATTGAGGTGAACTAGATATTAAATTCCGATGTTGTTAATTGTATTAAACGCAGAAATTATATTGTTGGTGGGAATTTCATTAGAATTTTAATTATTTTCTACTAAAATGTCATAACAAATTAAAATATCAATAAACTATGTATAATATTATTCATACATAAAATTCTTATTTATGTTTTTTAATTACTTTTATTTTTAGTGTGTGTTTTTGTGTTGCAAAACAGGAATTAAATAATTTCTAAGAATTTTAATTTGATTTTCAGCTCTATTAATATCAGTAAGAGTAATATTAGTAGTGGTATATAAAGTGTTATATTAAATATACGTACATAAATAAAATTGTATATTTTAAATATTTAATAATGGAGACCTGTTTTCAGTACAAACGCAGTGCAAAATTAATAACAAAGGCGATTTATTTGTACTAGCAAAAAACAATCAAGAAATGGCTAAAAAATTTTTTTAAAAACTCTAAATTTAAATTTGAGAATTTAGCAATTTTACCACTAACCACATATTCTTAAACCAAAGTTCGCCAAGAAAATAAGGAAGACATGAAAATTTTCCCTCTTAAACCATAAATCAACTACTTGTCGTATTTATTGTTTGTTGTATAATGTCGTATTGTCGTATATACTAATCGTATTATTATTTGTAATCTAAATTAGATGAACCTAGTTGGTTTTCCATAAATTCTTTCTCCCAGTTTCTTGAAATCTTTTGAACTTTTTAAACGAAATCAATACAGTGAATAGATTCCGCATCAAGATTATTACAAGACCTACGGCTTTATGATTGATTTCCTAAAATTGATTTAAAAAATTACTGGATTTACCAATATTCATGCTTAAATCTTCATTACATTCCAATTAGCATACATCGAGTCTGATAACGAGACTTCTTTAAATCGTAAAAGCTGTACAACTGTAATGTTTTATAAAATTTTTCCTACTCTTTTGAATGAAGGCAGAACTGAGCCTGATCTTAACATGTTTATGTTTTTAAATTACACACGTACTTCTTCCTAAATTTCACCTACTTCTCCAACCTAAGTCCTGAACATTTATAGAGTTTTTCAAAAACACTCCATACTAATTTTATTCCATACGATCAGGTTTTGTGTTAAGATTTTGTGATTTCAATAAAATTATTTTAAATATTTGAAATTTTTGCGTATTTTAAGAAAATTTCTACATTTTAATAAATTTTCTCTAATAATTTTCACATTAGTAAAGCTTAACCTGACGTAATTTAAAAAATTTATAACTAAATCGCATATTTTAGAATTGAATAATGTTTTGTACATGCATAAACTAGAAATGATAAACTAGAAATCTTCGATCATGTTAAAATCAAGAATTAAAATTCATTCATTAACAACAATATTCTAAAATATTTTTTATAACTTGTTTTCTTCCATTATATCGAAGACTTCAAATTTTAATAAGGTGATGATAACAAAAGAAATTTTTTTGCTCAAATTATTTGCTTGGAAAATAATATTTTTGATTTTGATTTTCACATTGCTACATTTTTAACTCTCAGGCATAGAGATATTAATGAACAGAACATACAGAAGTACGGATCTTTTCTGCCAGATCTAACACAAAAATTAAACTAATTAAGTTCATAATTTGTGTATTCCCAAATTTTTTATATCAATTAACGGCAAATTAGAATTGAATTTTGATTGCAGTAATTTAACAGCAAAGATAATTTAGCAGTGACTAAAAATCTATTCAGGTTACAGTATTGGTCAACTTATTTAGAACAAAATAAAATTAGGTACCTGGGGATTGTAGGATGTTTTACGTTTTATGATTTCTAAATTAACTGTGAAGTTAAAAATTGGTTATACGGGTTACAATATTCAATATGCATTGTGTTAATAATTACTATGGTAGCTAATACAATTTGATTTGACCATTCTCCCAGTATGTATAACACACGGCTGACGGAAAATTTTTTTGTATTGTCGAGGTATCAACAATAATATCCACATGACAATCTGTACATACTCTCATTTGAGACAATTCCAAAAACCTTGTATTTCTCTTAAAGATTATATTTGAACTTTAGCTTATAATTTAAGATTTATGTCGTGATATTTTAAAGCTTTAATTAAAACCTGGCAAATATTACATGTCCTGAATATTTAAATAATTCTATTGTTCATTTATTTATAAAACAAAATAGAAAAGTGTGCCATCATAAATTCAATTTGATGCCAATGTCGTGCCATTTGCAAAATGCTAAATAAATGGTGGGTGAAAAATAACTTTTAAATCTGTGCAAATAAATAAATTAAGTAAGTTAAATGAATATTTTAAATAACCATATTTTATTTAATTATATTCTTAATAAATATGCTACCATCAAAATCTTAATATTCTAAAATGGAATTTTTCTCATTTATTTAATCGTAAGTTATGATGTGCATAAACTTAGAAAAAATTGCGAATATCAGAAAATGTTTTGCAAATTTAAACCTTGAATTTTAAAATTTTACGAACTTTTTTAAATGAATTTTGAATTTTAAGTAGTTTTCTTCGAATTTAATAATATAAATTAAATAAAATTTTATAACTATCAACTAGCAAGCATCTATTATAGAGTACGAATGCTTATATTAAGCAATTTTTGCACAAAATACAATCAAATCATCATTAATTCTGTTTAAAGCGATTGAGTTGATCTTACTTTAATAATTTTATAACTCTATATTGTTATATTGGAATGACAATAATAAGTAATTTAAATTTTTATAAAAATATTTTTTTTACTTCTATTATCTGTCAATTATTATCAAAAAATTCAAGCCAATTTACACAATAATTCATAATAATTCAAAGTACATTAAGGTTAACTTAAGTGCTGTGGAAAATTTTTTGATTTAATCTTAAAAGCAGTTTTTAAAATAAGTGACAATATTTTAAATCGTGTGCTATAACGTCTAATTAAAGTCTAATTTTGTGCAACCATCAATTTATAAAAATTCGTTTAGCACTTTTAACTAACTGCTAGCCATTTATTATCCGTTTATTTGCTTGTTTATCATTATTCTCTATAGTTAACAATGAAAATTGTAAATTTGAATTCGTTTGCAAGATTTTTATCTAAGAGATTTTGTCAAGATAACAAAATTAACAACTTACGTACTTTATTGTACATTTAAAAATTTAAGAAAATCAAAATGAATCTGGTAAACTTAGAGATAAAATTAAATGTTATTTCTTGCTAGTCATTAGTCATCATCTCATTTAAAATTAAAAAATAAATTAACTGGTTAACAAGAAAACGCGATTTTAAATTTTATTTTTTAACTATTAAAATAATACAAAATTATGGTTATTTTTTTTAGTTTTTATTTTAAACATTTCTGGTGGTATACGTTCGGAAACACACATACACATACGCTAAATTACACTGATACAATAAATTAGTAAAAACATATTCTTAAAGCGTCGTTTACAATCGAAAGAAAATTTTTAAAATTTATGGTTGGTGTTAATGGTTTTTATGGACTTTAATCAATTGCTTAATAAATTTTCATTGTCTAAGCATAGTCGTCTAATGTTATTTTCTCATACAAGCTAAATTTGCAATGTGTGTGTAGCACCATATTACTGCCGAAATGCTGGCATGTAAACTTTAATACTTATTTAAAAATAATTACAATGTACATTCTGATAATTTCAATTGGCACGGAAAATATATCGCCATATTTCCTGTAAATATGCCACGCATGAGTGGACAGTCGATTTTGCTTCTATTTTGGATTAATTGATAAAAAAGCTGTTGGTAAAATAATGCTGGGATTATACGTAATTGCTGTTACATATTTTCATTGTTTTGATTTTTGTACCGTGAGCTCGTATTCCTTAAATGTAACGTCACACATGTTAGGGTAATGTTCTAGCGTTATACAAGATCCGGCATTTAATTGAATTAAATTATCAATGGTCGATTCGGATATCTAAAAGACTATCAAAAACAACTTTATACAAGCACTCACAATACGTCCCATTGAAGTTATCGTTCATATAAGAATAAGGTGCATTTTGAAGCAGACAGTTCCACATTCGCACGTATGTTACCAAACTACTTAAGCCAAGAAATTTATATTTTAAACGACTCTTAAGATTATATAGAATCAAAAAATCTAATTTAATTAATTGGTAATTTTTAGTATAATAGCAAAAAAAAAAACAATTTGTATGTGATTTTTTTTAATTAAAAAATAAATTAATTTTAGTTTATTGATTTCGGAACTTAAAAATATTCAAATTTTCTGTTTAACCAAACCCAATCAGTATTTTGTCCAATTTGCTAAACATTTAAATTGGAAATTGGTAAATTGTTTTACTTATAATAAAAACCCGCATAAATTGACCGAAATTATAAATATTTACAGTGTGCTGCGTTTTCGACGAACTCAAGGATGAATTCTACTCCCAGCTTACGTCGGTCATAAGTAATATACCGAGAACTGACATCATAATACTTATGGGTGACCTAAATGCAAAAATTGGTACTAGGATGCAGGGTGATCCGCAAGAAATCATTGGCTCACACGGCATTGGCTCAAGAAACAACAATGGAAGCCGGCTGCTTGACTTATGTACAGAATTCAATCTGGCTGTGGGCGGAACCCTCTTCCCACACAAAAATATACATAAATATACTTGGGAATCACCGAGTGGTCACACAAGAAATCAAATAGACCACGTATGTATTAACACAACCTGGAAACGATCATTGTTGGATGTCAGATCACGAAGGGGAGCAGACATACATGGTGACCACATGCTTGTCACCGCAGATGTCAGGCTGAAACCAAGCACCATAAGATACGCGGCACAAAGAAGAAGAGGCAAACTACGTGTAGCAGCACTGAAAAATGAAAATACAAAGCGGGAATTTGTATCAAAAATACAAGAATTATCTACACGTCAGTTGGGCCCCAGTGATATACAATCATGTATAAGGCAAATTGGCGAAGAAACACTGGGGACTGTAAGAACAGAAAGAAAGGCTTGGATTTCTGATGACACATGGGCAAAAATAGAAAGACGGAGAAACCTGAAAACCACGCTTCTAACGCGCCCAACGCCTGAACTAAGAGCAGAATACAATAATGTGGCAAAGCAAGTTAAGAGGTCTGCCAAAAATGACAAACGGAGGTACTACAACACCCTAGCCTCACAAGCACAGGCGGCAGCCGAGCGTAACGACATGCGCACCCTGTATAACAAAATAAGAACGATAACAAAATGTAACACCAAAAATAACCGGCCAATCAATGACAAAAATGGATGTATGTTAACATCAAGAACTGAGCAACTTCGTCGCTGGAGGGAGCACTTTCAAGAATCTGGTGCCACGGCCCTGCAACATACTGAAACAGACCAGAACACATCGTATACCCAAAATTCAAGAATAAGCATAAGCCCACCCACACAGAATGAAATATCAGATGCACTTAAAAGATTGAAACAAGGTAGGGCAGAAGGTCCTGAAGGCATCCCTGCAGAGTTGCTGCAAGCCGATACCAGGAGTGCAGTAGCAGTACTTCACCCAATTCTGCAGAGTGTGTGGGAAGACGAAATAATACCAACCTCATGGAAACAGGGTATAATTGTGAAGTTGCCGAAAAAGGGTGACCTCAGAGAGTGTTCTAACTGGAGGGGAATCACCGTGCAGAACTCAGTAAATAAGGTTCTGGCACTTGTAATCCTCGCAAGAATTGAGGACAAGCTAGAAGAAACATTACGAGAAGAACAGGCCGGATTTAGAAGGCAAAGAGGCTGCATTGACCAGTCAAACACTCTCAGACTAATAGTGGAACAATTAGTAGAAAGGAGGTCACCCCTATTCATAACATTCGTCGATTTCGAGAGGGCATTTGACACTGTTAGACGCGCAAGCATTTGGGGGGCATTAGCTAACAGAGGAGTACCACAAAAAATCATCAAGATCATACGGGCTCTGTACGATGAGTCAGAAGTCAGAATCCTGCACAATAATGAACTCAGTGATCCATTCGAAATAGAAACTGGAGTAAAGCAGGGATGCCCTCTCTCCCCCCTACTGTTCAATGTGGTTCTGGACGAAGTTATGCGTAAAGTAACATCCACCCCTAAAGGCATACAATGGAACCTAATGACCCGTCTTGAGGCCCTAGAATATGCAGATGACATTGCCCTGTTGGCCCACACATATACAGACATGCAAACTAAACTCAACAATTTGTGTAGTAAGGCAACGGAAGTGGGGCTCAAAATAAATGTCAATAAAACCAAATCGCTCCGCATAAACACAACGAATATAGTCCCGTTTGACGTCAACTCAAGACCAATAGACGATGTAGCAAGTTTCAACTACCTTGGCAGCATAATAACCACATCAGGAGGCGCCAAGGAAGACATAGAAAATAGGTTGAAACTGGCAAGGATGGCGTTTGGTAGATTATGGGCGATTTGGAGGTCATCACATATAACAAGGGCAACGAAGTTGGCAATATTCAACGCCTATGTGAAATCGGTCCTCTTATATGGCTCAGAAACCTGGCTGGCCCAGAAAGACACAACAAACAAACTTCAGGTCTTCGTAAACAGGTGTTTAAGGGCCATTTGCAAGATATACTGGCCCCAACGTATAAGTAATATCGACTTGTGGGCCCTAACCAAACAAGAGGATATAGCGACGGCCATAAAGAGAAGAAAATGGGGTTGGATTGGGCATACCTTGAGGCGTCCACCTGAAGCAATTGCCAGACAAGCACTAGAATGGAACCCTCAAGGAAAAAGAGGTGTTGGGCGCCCCAAAAATACATGGCGCAGAACCGTCGACAAAGAAACAAGTTACACATGGGCAGAAATCAAGAACATGGCCCACAACAGAGTGCGATGGCGAAGCTTTGTAGCGGCCCTATGCTCCCGCGAGGAGTGAAGAAGGAAAAAAAAAAAAAAAAAACAGTGTGCTGCGTTTAGTGTTGAACGTAATATACAATGCAAGGAAACAGGTCACCATATAAAGGATGTTGTCCAAAATCTCATATAGTTTAATTCTAGTAAAAATCAATTTTTCATTTGAGGGCACTGTTGGTGGTTTTTCGAGTTCTGACAATCTAGAAATGAAACAAGTTTCTTTTACTGTTTGGATTTTTTTCATTCCGGATCAAAACACAAGTGGTTCACTTTGTACTCATGAATATATTGAAGTTAAATCAATAGACAAGAAGTAATTTACCAGAAAAACTAAACTATTAAAGTATCAAAAATTACTCGTTGAAATTTTCGTTTTTTTTTTTCTCTACTTCTATTTTAATTCAGGGTTAGACAATTGATGTGAAACGTATACAATAATTGATTACGATTAAAAATTTATAGTAATGTACCTTGATTGCAAACAATATTATATTTTAAGCATTAATACCACAATCTTAAATATTGTTGTCAATTATATAGTGAAATCGTAAAAGTTCATAACCTCGACCACAATCTACGACCACAATTGTATAAGTATTTGCCTTTTGGATTTTGTGTTATACTGAAAGTGTTATGCCATTTTGTTCTTTAAAAAAGACTTCATACAGTAATATTAAAATTAAGAAATTTGATGAGAAATTTCTGAAATCTCATTAAGATTTATTATAGATTTTAGATCAACATTAAATTTTAAGAAATTGATTTAATCTTCAAAAATCTCTTTTAAAAATTTAATTTACATTTTAATAATAAAAATAGTAAAAAGCTTGTAATACTAATTTTCTAGTTTTATATTTATTTATTTAATTGTTTTAATTAAGTTGAATTATTAAATTAGTTTTAACATTGAGATGAAATATAATTAAATTGTTAGTGACATAATTGGAATAATGATTCTAATCGTAATGATTCTAATACGTAAGTATAATCATTCATTAGTAATGCAAAGAAATTTGAGAATCAAAGAGGAAAATGAAAATGATTTAATATGAAAGAGAATAAAATCAATATACCTGAGGATTGTAGGATATTTTTCTTAAAATTCAAAATCTGATAAAAGATTTTCTATTTCAATGTGGTACTTAAGTAATTCATATATAAAATTATGTTTTAATTTAAATTTGTGCTAGATATGAAATTTGCAAACTAACACACAAATTTTATTGTCACTGCCGGAAATCTGTTTTCTTGAATACCTCCACTGTTCTGTTAAATTAAACTTTATGTCTATGTCTGTGTCTGAATCTCGAAATATTTTCAAATACAGATAACGATACGGAAATATTACGTTCTAACTTATACGATATTCAAAAGTCGAATTTTTTGATTTTCCGGTAGCAAATAATTGCCGAATTCAAAAAATTACTTCAGTACGCGAAATTATTGAAACAAGTATAGAAAGCTATAATTTTTTCAAAAAATATAAAATTAAATTATGAAATCAATGTACTTCTATTTTTCATTTAGTAAGTTCTTCCTTGAAACCACCGATGAATTATGTGGAAATAATGAATAACTTTACAATTATTCTGAATTGAACTAGATTACCGATACCAATATTGTGGCCATAATTTACATGACATAACACTATGTGTTTATTTGTAATTTAATAATACCTTAATGCTTAACATGAATACCTTAATTATCATGAAGCAAAAGAAAGCAGTACTTTTATACAGATTAATTGTAGTTATTAAAGTTTCTTATGAATTGAACTAATTAGTTACTACTTAATGATTTTTTTTTTTGAAAATTGAATAGGGAAAAATTTTATTGAAAATGAAAATGCGAAAATTAATCATTTTATTTCTTTAACCACAATGGTTACATTGCATTGCATGTTATTGGTAGATTTGGATGCTTACACATTTCCGGTATCTTTTATGAAATTGATATTAATTCCAAGAATAATGCAATTCCAAGATATTTGGTCCAAGTATAATTAAAAAAATATTTAATATTATGGAAAAAAAATTTTTGATTTTATGAATTAAATTGGAAATTATTGATTCAAATTTCCGAAGAAGTAAATGTACGTCATATTTATTTAAAGAACTTTGACATTGAGCATATTATGTACTTTGAAAGGTAAGAGTAAAATGGCAAAATTAGATACTTATGTAAAAATTTAATAAAATTCATGTGAATTATTTTACAATAATGAAATGTGACTTGACAGTGACGTATTTAAGGATTCTAATTTAAATTTCTAATTTAAAGATTCTGATGTTAGATAAAAAGAATTCTTAAAAAGTTATCACAGACGAAATTTCAAAAATTATAACAAAATTTTCAATTTATTTAAAATTTTTAAATATTTTCGGTTCAAATTTCAAAAATTTGGGGGGACAACATTAATTATGTAATTTTTAATTGGTAACAGATATTTTTCAAAAAAAAAAAAATTAAGCATATAAAAATGACGTAAGTTAATAATGAAGCAAAGTATCGTGTACTCAATTAAAAATTCTTTATTAATTAAAATATACTCACACACATACACCCTACGAAATTCGATATTTTCCAATTTCGTTTAAGAAATATTATTGTAAACCCTTTAATTTAAGAAATAAAATTTTTCAAGAGAATTAAATAAATATTATTAATTAATATTTATTGGGAGTTGATTAAAATTTAATTAGAATTCAAATACAATGTGAGATCTTCATGCGAAATTTTGGTACTTTTGTAAAATGAAATTTCTGAATTTACTTGATTTAACTACCTTCTTCTTACTCTTTTGAATCCAAGGTAAATAAATAACCTAGTATTAATAAATTATTTGCCCAATGTCCAGAAAATAATTGCAAGCTTAAATTGATTGACAAACTAAATCAATTTTTGTTAAATGAGTTCTTTTTCCATCGCAATCAGCTAAAACTGGGAAAAATCCATTATTATGGTAAAAGAGCTGAAATATTTTTAATCCAATTGAAATACTGTGGTTAAAATCATCCTTTTGTGCACATCATTTTAATATTATTAATTTATGTAAAATAAATAAATTTTTCGCATCCATTATCGCATACCACAATTATTGTAACGAACTACGTAGATTCATATAAGCATAAGATATTTAAGAATTGAACATTTGTGAGAACCTTTACCATTGTTATTCAAACGAGATTATTAAATAAAAAATGAGATACTTTATTTAATTTCAATCAAGCATTGTACTTTACAGATTCAAAGGATTTTACGACAGCTGTACAAGGGATTTATTGAGGTTTTTTATTTAAAAAAAAAATATTTTAATATATTACTCAATTACTTGTTTATTTAATAAAGGTTACAATTTTTTTTAATAAATGCAAAATTTATGTCATTTGTTTACCGGAAAATTCATAATAAAAATAATACGGAAAATGTTTTCGTTAAGTAACACTTTCAGGAAAAAAAATCTCATTTGTAATACTTACGGTAAAAAAAAATATTCTACCCCCTACACTTTAAATTATACGATAACTTAATTTAAAAGAAAGTATGTATATGTAAAAATATTTTCATCCTTGAAGGAATTTCGCCGGTATTTTGTTGATTTTATTGTATTCTTAAAATAAATCTCGAAATAAAGTAAATAAAAGATGGATAACGCCTCGAGATATGCAATTTTTTATGTTGTAATTTACATGTGGCAATGTTATTTAATATGTATGGTTAACATTCTTGGAATACAATAATGTGATATGGCAAGCAGTGTATACTCTAAAACAAAACATGAAAGATATTTTTATGTATGGTATTTGATTAAAACAATTTAAAACAAACTGATGAGGAAGTTTGTTTTAAATTATTAAAGCAAATATTGCAGTTACAATATTGCAAGAATCAAGAAAATGGAAGTTGGAGTATAAAGAAATGGGCATAATAAATGAAAAGTATTGCAATCCGTTAAAAGGTCATTTTACTTAATAATTCAAAATTGTTAATAATAAAAGCTTTGATGTTTTCCGAAATATTACTTTATAAAATATGCTATCCCATTGCTATCAAAATGTTTTATTGTTGACTCATTTGATAAATTTGATATCTGTGATATGATCAAAAAAAAATTAAAATCTGACCGAATAA